AACCAAAACCATTGCCAAAATTGAACACTTCAACACTTCAACCTCTACCGTGACGTGCTCTCTAGTATATTAGTAGTATATACTACTAATGACATTAAAACTAAAAATGTGACTCCTGGGTGTAATAATCTTCCAATCAATAATCTGTGAGCACCAGGAGTATAGTAAACTGAAAAAGTTTAATAACATAAAAATACACACCAAGCTTTTGTCGGAATCCTTCCGACATCGTCAGGGTTAAATGCCAGTCCATGGGAGAGTCCCTTTATAAGCCACCCATCGTCTGCGCATGGCTCCTGGACCTTGTCACCGGTCCCAGCCGATTGGGCTGTGCCTTAATTGCAGCTTTCACACCGGTGACTAATCTTTTCTTGCCTCCCCTGCTATGTGTATGGCGTTGCTAACTACCTCTGCCTGTGGCCTTGGGTCCGGTGCGCTCTCTCCCCCCTTTTTTGATCATGCAAACTCTCCGTATCCTCCAATTCCTCCCCCTTCCCATCCTCCTTCCTTTGCTGCGCTGATGGCCCTGCTGCCCCCTGCTCCATGCCCCCCTCCTCTTGTCCACCCTCCTCACTTACAGTCCAGTTGATAACCTTTGTTCTATGGGGCCACTTTGCCACCCTCTTAACCCCTTCCTTAACTTCCATCCTCCTCTCTTCCACCTCCACCTGGCTTTCGTCCCTCACGTTGTTGTCCCGCACCTCCTCCATTCTTTCCCTCCCCCATCTCTGTTGCCTGTAGTCCCCATGCTGGCCCTGCCATCCCTCCCATTCTCTACCGGGACGTGCTCTCTATCCTCTTCCTCTCCGCTCTGCCCCTCTTTTATACGCCAGTTGTTATCCCTTACTCCATGGGGCCGCCTCTCCTCTCTCTTGTACCCTCACCTAACCTCCATCCTCCCCTCTTCCACATTCACACACCCCTCGCTCCTATGGATGCTATCTTGTATTTCTTCCACTTCTTTCCTCCCCCCGTCTCCGGTGCTCGCAACCTCCGTGCCAGCCCAGGTGCTCACGTCACTCTCGTCATCCTTTCCACAAGCCTCTCTTATATTCCTGAGTCGATGGGATTGTCCCTCCAACTCCTTCATTTCTCTTTCATCCACCCGATCCTCCCTGTGGCCACCAGTCCAATTGAGCACCCCCATGGCTACAAACCGATCCTTCCCACCGTTATCAATCAATCCAGACCCAACTTTCCTCCTACCCCCACTTTTGATGTTTTCAGCCTCCGTATCGTCTCCAGACCTCCAACTGCCACTCCGTTGCTCTCGTTGGTGCGGGCGGTTCATCTCCAGGTGGTGAGCTGGTCCGATCCCTCTCCTGTCCCTCAGGTACCTCCGGGTCGCTGTTGCTCCTAGCCAGCCCCTCTCCTCGCCCCCAGCCTCTTCTTGCCTCCGCACCTCATCCTTCGCCTGGGTGCCCCAAGGACCATCAGCGAGGCAACTCAAAGCCCCTCTCGGGGATACTCTTTCCCTCCGACTCCCCAGGGGGTGTGGCGAGCTCTCCAAAGCGCCAGTCACTGATCTTTTATCTGCCTGCGTCCTCCTCGTTTCCTGGGTGGGTGGGTCTTTAGATCATTGGCTGTTCTTCATTTGGATGTGCGTGTGTGACTCAGTCTTTCCCAGTCATTCTGTGAGGCCTGGAGGGGTTCCTAGCTCACCTGCCGCCCCCCCCCCTTCCATCTCGCTGTGGCTCTCTTTCCTCCCGGGAATGTGCAGGTGTGCCCAGGGCATGGGGGTTCTTCACCCATTGGTTATCTCCCACCCGGTTGTTCGTAGTGCATTTTTGCCACGGGGGGTCTGCCCTCTCTGTAACCACCTATGCGGGGGTATGCCGCCCGGCCTTCTGACATCCGTGCTGGGGCAGGGGGTCACCGGCGCTCCACGCCTTCAAGGTTAGATGTGCCGGACACAAGTCGATGTGCCAGTTAATGGAGTCACTATCTGAAAGCCAGGCCTCCTTAAGTAGCCGGCCCCCTTTTGTGTTGTCGCTGGCCAGGACACGCACATTGTCAAAATCAAAGCGATGCCCAGACTCTGCCATATGCATCCACACCTGGGAGCGCTGCTCACCCCTTTTTACGGCCAGCCTATGTTCATGGACCCTGGTCTTCACTCTCTTAGAGGTCTCCCCCACGTAGTTGCCGGGACAATCCTTACAATTGATCCTACACAACCGCTGACTTCTCTGTGCTGGGGAGTGGGTCCTTGGGCCGCATAACTTTGGAGCGCAATGTTTGGTTGGGTCTATGGGCCACTTTCACCTTGTGAGGTGCCAGCAGCCTGGCTGTTGCCTCCGAGACATTGCAGATATACGGGAGGGTAACCCGGGTCGTCTGTGGTGACAACTCCTCTGCCCATGGCTGATCTCGGGGTTTGGGGGGCACACTGTGGCATACACACACACACACACACACACACACATACATACATATATTGGTTATTTTCTACTTTTCAAACAAATGAAACATCATTAACGTCACTTCACAGGATATTTTGGGAATAGAACATTGCTCCATTTGTAATCTGTTGGCCTGTTTACATTGTCATATGAATAACACAACATATCGATTAGGTTAATCTGTAGAACCTGATACAAATCTATCTGGAAGGGATCTGTAATCAGGACAAGGAAATTGTTCGGAATAGAGTTGATACTTGGTACTTGTTTTTAGGAATCCCATCATGAATCCTCACATGGAGAGGACCTCTAGTCCTCTGTCTCTACCAACCATAATGTTCTATGAATAAAGGAGGAAAACCAGCATAACACCATGCCATCCACCCCCAATCCTCTGAACTGATCCGGAAAGACATCATGATCAATGGTACTGAAAGCCTCCAATAGGTCCAGTAGGACAAGAATGGATGTACAACCCACATTCCACTCATGCCAGAGATCACTCTAGAAAGAGTACAGAGAAGAGCAACAAAGATGATTAGGGGGCTGGAGGCAAAAACGTACAGGGAATGGTTGCTGGAATTGGGTATGTCTAGTCTAATGAAGAGAAGGACGAAAAGGGACATGATAGCAGTGTTCCAATATCTCAGGGGTTGCCACAAAGAAGAGGGAGTCAAGCTATTCTCCAAAGCACCTGAAAGTGGGACAAGAAGCAATGGATGGAAACTAAAGAGAGAAGCAACCTAGAACTAAGGAGAAACTTCCTGACAGTTAGAACAATTAACAAGTGGAATAACCTGCCTCCAGAAGCTGTGAATGCTCCAACACTGGAAGTTTTTAGGAAGAGATTGGACAGCCATTTGTCTGAAATGGTATAGGGTTTTCTGCCTGAGCAGGGGGTTGGACTAGATGACCTTCAAGGTCACTTCCAACTTTATCATTACTATTACTATTGTTGTTGTTGTTTTGTTAATAATAATAATAATAATAATAATAATAATAATAATAATAATAATAATAATAATAATAATAAAAATGCAATCAATACTGTTTCTCTCTATACCTTAGCCTCAATCCTGACTGAAAGTGATCCAGGTAATATGCTTCATCCAAGGCTTTTTGAACCACTGGTGCAAGCAATGCTTAAATATTTTTCTCCTTTAAAGAAGAAATATTTTCTATCTAATATAGCCCATGAAAGTATTTACAATTTTAACATCTATTGAGATCCCATTTTTTACATGCATTCTCCTGTGATAAAAGTTTTAATATTCTCAAGTACTAATGTCATGGTTCCGACAGATGAAACTCTTCAAAAGAAGTTTGAGGCATTGTTTTCCTTAAAGACTCTTTTATTCGATAAATAAAGTATCGGCACTACATAGTTAAAACCAAAAACTGAATTCCCCTCCCCTGGGCACAAAGTAGCAAAGCACAATTCCCTCCTCCAATTAACAGTCATAAATAACATTCCCCAATTAGCTTGAAGCACGGGCTTTCTCCCCAGCTCTCCAGTCCATCAAATCTTTATCAACTCTGGGTGAAATAACCTTGGATTTCCACAGTTGAGTTATTATTGTTATGATTAGCTGTACTCTCATCCACATTCCCCCTCCAAGCATCAACTAACTCTAAAGAAAAAGAGGAAAATGGCTGCATTTCCATCTGTTGTAAAAACAAGAACATTCGATGTTAGCAGCGTTGACAATTAAATTCACATAACAATGCAATTTTTTTCTTTTTATGACCCTGTAATCGCTTCATCCAGCTAGAGTCAGGACGACTGAATGGATATTCTGAATACCACAGAATATTCTCATAGGGTGAGAATGATTCCATCTCAGAGATAAAAAGGAATCTGATTTTTTTTAATAAGGGAGATTCCTGTTATGCAAATTTTATCTATAATAAATCCATATAATACTTCCATAGTTTCCATATAAAATACCTGACTATTGGATTTGGTGAATTGTGATTCAATCAGATATTAAAAGAGACTACTGGAAACTACTAAGGAAAGGAAGAAATGGAGAGCATGTATCCTTGTAAAAAGGAAGCGGAAAAACTAAAATAAAATTCTTAATAGATCCACATATATGTCTTTATTCCATATCTTGTCCTGTCTCAAAAAGAAAACTGTCAAGTTAGATGGGGTAAAATCCTTGGAATAATTATTCACGATGATAAATATATTAATTTTATTAAATTGTGTGCTTTCTTAAAATAACTAATAACATAATAAATAAAAAGAACAAACTTAGAGCAAAAATTGTATTCTTATCCACTTTTTTTGTTATAAAAGAAATCTATTTATTGGCCTACTGAAACTAGAATTCACACATTTGAATTTTCCCTTTTAAAAAAGAAAATTGCTAATATTACTTCAAAACATATTAGTATTACCCACTACGTTCTGTGAGCCTTCTTTGAAAATTGTGGGTAAAAACCATAATTTGTCAGAATTTTTCATAAATTCAGGTTTCAGAGCTACAAGTAAATCACAATGCTAAACAATCTCTTCACACCTATAAGAATATATTTAAAAGATTGGATTTTGACATTTCTCCTTTCAATTTAAAAACATAATCAAAAAGGTTTTTACACATGTCTTCTTATCAGTTGATCCCTGTTGTTTAAATCAGGTCTAAATACAATAATGTAACATTTGGGGGAAAAGATGCATCCTAGAAGCCCAGCACTAGATGACAAGATCGAGAAGATCTCCACAGCCACCATGGCTTTTCCTCTAGTGCTCAGGTACGTTGGAACAAAGGAGACCCACACACTGCAGAAAGCCAACATGCTGAAGGTGATGAACTTGGCTTCATTAAAGCTGTCAGGCAGTTTACGAGCCTGGAATGCCACAATAAAGCTGGCAAGCGAAAGGAGAGCCATATAGCTCAGAACACAATAAAACATAAAGACTGAGCCTTCATTGCATTGTAGAACCATTTCTTCAGTTGTTGAGTGCATGTCTAATTCTGGGAATGGGGGAGAGGTGGATAACCAAACAATACAGATACTTGCTTGGAGTAGAGAGCAGAGCAGGACAATAGAAACAGCCAGTCTTTTCCCCACCCATGTCCTTATCTGAGATCCTGGCTTGGTGGCCTTGAAGGCAAGAGAAACAAGGATGGTTTTTGCCAACACACAAGAGATGGACAATGAGAAGGTGAGACCAAATGCAGACTGTCTGAGGAGACAGGTGACTCTCCCAGGTTGTCCAATAAAGAGGAAAGAGCAGAAGAAACAAAGCAGAAGGGAGATGAGGAGAGTGTAGGTGAGATCCCGGTTGTTGGCTTTCACAATAGGACTGTCTTTGTGCTTAATAAATATTCCCAACACCCATATTGTAGTGAGGAAAAATAAAGTAGCAACAGAGGCTAAACTGAGTCCTAAAGGTTCTTCATAAGATAAGAAGCTAATTGTTTTCATGATGCATCCATCTTTCTTATGGTTTGCATATTGATCATCAGGACATTGAAAGCAAGCAACAGTGTCTAAAAGGGAAAAAAATGGCAATGAAGATTCATAAAAAAGATAATTATTAATTTTCATATTTATCTACACCCTGATGTTTATGTCCTTGGTACAAATGATAGAATCTACAATATGAAAATGCATTTGAATATCTCTCTATTTATATTTTGTGTGTTGAGGTATTAAGTCAAATGTTGCTTTGATTATACACAAAGAAATTTCACAAACTCCATTTTATCTTAATTTGCTTTCTTATGATAAAGGAGTGCTCCAATAAAGATTCATGAATACCTGAAGTTTTCATTTTCATATTTAAAATCATATTGATTTATTGAATATTGAACCATATTGATCACATTTCAAAATATGGTACATAAGTATAATAGTTTCACCAAATTCAAAGTGAAAGATGAAAGATAATGTTTCAAGGAGGAAATTGTAGAAAGGTTAGTAATCACATATTCAAAGGAAAATTATAAAGTAAAAGGGATTTTCTGTTTCTGTAAGAGAATTATATATCCCTTTTTTATTTAATATCACTATTTTTGTTTTCTTTCTATGTTTCTTTTAAAATTTAATTTCTTGTGTTTACCCCCTAAAGAGAATATTGGAATCAATCTGCATTACATATAAAATACTTAGATATTACATATCCAAGAGAGCTACACACTGTAGAGAAAATATGAATAAGTATTTCTAAAAGAAGCAAAACTGTGCACAAATGGATGGATGGATGGATGGATGGATGGATGGATGGATAAATAAATAAATAAATGAATGAATGAATGAATGAATGAATGAATGAATGAATGAATGAATGAATGAGTAAATAAATAAATAAAGTGATTTTTTGGAAAGGAAAAAGTTATTATAATTTAAAGTAGGGAGTGTTTTAATCATATTCCTCATTGCATCTATAAGGTTCTCATTATTGTTAAGAGATATGTTTCATTAGTTTGTCCACTCTTCCTAAGAAGTAAATACTCATTTCCTTACATTTCAGAAATTCTTCTTTTCATTATTATATTTCAAGATATAATATTTAGTTAGTGCATATTTGAGATTTTTGGATTCAATAATAAAATCAAAAGATGTCAATTCTGAATTCCTTCCTTCCTTCCTCTCCAATATGTAGTTCCTAAATTGCACAGTCATCTTTTTGTGGTTTCTTATTTCTCATCTTTTAAAAAAGTGAAATAATTACTTTAATTGAAAAATTGTTGTTGTTGTGATCAACCCTTGTAATTCCATTGTAAGAACTTATATTTTTTCATGTATTAATAGATTTGATTTCCTTATCCCATTAAGTTTCTAAAAAAAATCCTTATTCATGAAAAACCAAACAATTTAATTAGCGGAAAGTGTTCAGCACACTAGACAGTATAACAACAAAATTGAATGATTTGTTAACTTACCAATCTCTTTAGAGATTTTCCCCTCTGGACATTCAACACAATCATAACAGCAGAATTTCTTTCCTTCATTCTTCCTCTTTTGATGACCAGGGAGACAATGTTCATTGCATAGAGAAATGGGAAGCACCTATTTATCAATATTAAAATGTTGGAAGATGAGCATTTATTGTTTTGAAGAAAATTCCATTGTTACACTGATAATGAAATGTGTAGTTACATTAAAAGAAAAGTCCCATCTAAAAGTTGTAAAACAAGAAATTGATTAGATTTGATGATTTATTTCAAACACAATTAAGTACATTTCAGTGTGGCCTCTGATTTGATTTGGTGAGCACAACTGATCTGGATTTCCAATTTTTGTTATGTTGAAATTCTCATATCAATTTAATTAAAGTTTTATTAATTCAAATCATCAGATTGACCACATTAACAATAACAATAACAATAACAATAACAATAACAATAACAA